CATTAATCCACCCTACTTGGTACTTAGCACTCAATGTCTTCAATGGATTACATTCACCTGTGATTCTTTTGATTTTGTAATTGCTGCTAATATATATAAGGATGGGGCTATTTCCACCCCTTAAATCTTATTTTTCACCCTATTTAATCTTGTTTCTTTAAACTACTAACTTCACTTCATCTATATCCACCCCATTAGTGACTAAACTTACACCATCTATGTATAAACGTCAAAGTAAATCTAGTTTTACACTCTATAGGGTTCACATGTAACGCACGCACGTCTGGACTTGTTGGTATATAAAAGTACCTTAGTATGAAAAATTTTAAATTCATTATTTTGCCCTTATAAAAAATCATAATGGCTAACATATCCTTTTGTATTTAAATATATAAATTACCATTATATTCCTATGTATTTAAATAACAAACTAATCTCTAACAAATTACATAAATTTCTCTATATTTGCAAAACCTTTGGACGGTCATGTTATGCTTAGGATAATATATAAAAAAATATTATTTTTTTTTTCAAAATTTCAATATTAATACACGTCAACAACTCTATTGGTACAATATCATCTCCAGTGCAAAAAAAAATGGATATATATAATTTTTCTCTTCATTCACAATAAAAATAATTTGGTAAAAAACTATTGAGGCACAAAGTAAAAGCAAGAAAAACAAAAAAAAATCATAAAAGAAAAATCTATAACCCTTACTACTTGGTAGCTCGAATGAAAGAATCATAGAAAATGAGTCCATTAGAACTTTATAATTATAAAAAGAATACTAATAGTTTAAGTATGATAAATATGAGACGATATCTAATTTAGCTTTTCAACAAAAAAATTCGTGTACAATACACGTGGTGCATTACTAGTATGTAATATATATAAGTATATATATGTGCACTTATTATAGAAGTAGAAGTGTCAAGGAAACAAATAAGAGATGTGGGAATAGGAAAAAAATGACATGTGTTTTAACCATAAGGAAAAAAAAAATAAAGCAAATTGATTAAAAATGAACATTTGCCACATGAGATCACTTGGCTCACCAAAGCCCGGTGACGTGAGGGAGAGAAAAGCCTTGAAATGTTGGCTATAAATAGTCATGCTCAGAGGGGGGGGGAAAGGGAGAAAATAAAGAAGAAATAAGAAAAATATCAAAATTTCAATAGCGTGAGAGGTCGCCTTCATGACCAAAAATTTGGGTAAGAATGTTGGATTATGATTCAGTAATTTTATAGGCCCAAATCACCTAAGTTTGATCCTCGTTAATTATTTTAGGATCAAGTTCGGGTATCGTTATCTTATTTCAAAAATTATTTTTAACTTAACTAAGCCATTGTTACCTCTTTTTAATCTAAAATATTATTCTGCTTTGTTTTGCCATGGTACACAGTATCGATACCAAGTAGCAATAGAGAGAGGGTTTCTTTTATCTTTTACTATCATTGATGCATCTCATGTATATTTCGGGGTTTTATATCAAACCTATTTTAATTATATAATGTAATATTATATTGCATTAATATTGGGGTTGAATTCAAATTTTATCAATAAATCGTGATCTTGCACATATTATTTTTTTTATATTAAAACCATGATTATATTTCAGAACCAAGTGCATAAAATGGTTGAATTTTAATTTGTCATATTTATTTAATGTTTGACTTTCTACTTGATGTTATATGTGAATATGATATAACCTTCATTTATGATATTAATGAATTTACTTTGGATGCGCACAATTGATGGCAGAGGGTTAGTAGATGAGTTGTCCTTGCAAAGATTTATAGGAGTCTTACTAGTTATTGGGTTCAATGGTTAGTTATATCGTTTGTTGTGGGTAGTCTATGTGATATCACATAATTTCAATATTAGTGTTCCCATAAAAGCAAGAAGGACACCGGGTTTCTTAAGATGCAATATCCCAAAGTTTTCTCCAAAAACAATTCATGCGTGGACTAAAAAATTAACGAATTAATATGATTGAATTGTGTTGCATTCTCTTGATTCTTTAATTTAACCTATTACTACATTTACTTGTTGTTCAATAATATTATGTATTGTTTTAAAATATTGATAGTCATTGATAAATATAATCTTATTGTGCTAGTGAGTTCATCCATATTTAATATTTTCAAAAAAGTGAAGCAAGTTTGGGGAATGTGTTGGAGAGACTGCAGATAAAGATTGTTATTACTATTTCTCTTTATGTCGTATTATAACGTTGTATGTAGTTGAGTGGGGATCATGTTATTTTTATCAGCTTGAGAATGTAATCGCAGAATGTATCAATAATAATATAAGAAAGGTTATTATGAATTATGTGCAGTTTTATTTCTTAATTACGCTTGATTATTCTTGGAAAAAAAAATCAAGACGTGACACGATACGATTAATAAATTAATCGGGTATGAGTGAAAATTATCAAAAGAAATTTATGACACAATTCGTTTATATATTGATTATACACGATTTATATACAATACAAATTCAATACAAAATGATTAGTTAGGCATGAATCAATAAATAGAGTTAACTATCTATTTGGCCCATAAATTATATCTTAAATTATGTTTTGTTTCAATTTAATTCCTGAACTATATCATTTGTGTCAATGTGACCCTTTCAGTCAATTTCGTCGTTAAGTTTGACAAAGTTCCTCACATGCACAGCACATGACTCGTAAACTATAAAATTATATCAAAAATTAACTGCGTATTTAGACGGAAGGGTTACATTGACCCAAATGATATAATTTAAGGGCTAAATTGATATAAAACATAGTTTAGAGACTTAATTGATATAAATGATATAATTCAATGACCAAATAACTAATTAACTCCAATAAATAAAGAGAAAATTATATTTAGACCACTTGAGGTTTGTCACTTAAAATTAGACGCCTAACATTTAAAATATTATACATAACCCTCTGACGTTTGTACGCATGTAATATTTAGACATTTACTTTCAATGTTCATTAGATATATTAATAAAGTACACCTAAATCCCCTAAAATTTGTAGACATGTAATATTTAGATCACTCAAGTTTAAAATATTATATTTAGATAAAAAATACTCCAATCAAAGATAAAATATCAATTATTTTAAATTTTATAACTAAAATTTATGTTATATTATGATACTAGTCATAACCCGTGCCTGAAGGTACGATAAAATATAAAATTCAAACGTTCAAAAAATCGATTACATTATATTAATTTTTAAAAAAAATATTAACTATAAATTAATCAAATATTAAATGATTAAATATATGATAGAAATGAGTGATGTGATGTTTTTAAGGAAGAAATATATAAATAATTAAACATATGACAGAAATAAGTGATGCGATATGATGTTTGAGTCTGACAAAGAAATGATGAATGAGATAAGTGATTGGTAATGGTTTTGAGGGGGAAAATATGACTGAGATAAAATTCAAACACACTCCTGTTTTATTATATAGATTTATTGAACTAAATTAAAAATAAAAATCAAATTTTTCTTGCAAAATTATAATTATTATACACTTATACTCTCTATTAGAATTTAATTTGGTCGTTTAAAGTACCAAATTACCCCAAATTAAAGGTAGAAGATATTTTTGTCAATTATAGTTTGACTTCTTATTTGATTTTTAATTTTATTCTAATAAATAATATTATTGTATACTAATTATAATTTTTTAAGAAACAAATTAAAATTTTATTTTAATAAATGACATAACAGAACAAATTTTATTTGTAAAATTTATGTTCTATTATGAATGACTTAGATTCCTTGTGTTGATTTTTTTGATTTATTCCAATAGATAGTGTAATTATATACTAATTATGGGTTTTTATGAAAAAATTGAATTTTTATTTTTAATTTTATTTTAATAAATGATACATTAGAACATAAATTTTGATCGTAAAATTTAAAATATTTAATATTTTATTTTTTATTGGATTATTTTTTGTCTAAATATATAATATTTTAAATTTGAAGGGTCTAAATATTATATGTCTGCAAACTTCAAAGGGTCTAAATATAATTTACTATTGAATATTAACGGTAAGTGTTTTAGTGTTACATGCATATAAATTTTAGAGAATTTGTGTATAATATTTTAAATATTAAGGGTCTAACTAATTAAGTGAAAAATGTAAAAAAATCTGGGTGTATTCTCTTAGATATATTTTATAGGGAGAATTATATTAAGATCTCTTAAAATTTGTTACTTAATCATTCAGTCTCCCTAACATTTGAAATATTACATACAGATCTCCTGAGATTTATATGTACATAACACTTAAACTTGTCGTTATATATTCATTAGTAAATTATATTCAGACCTTTTAAAGTTTGTAAGTATGTAATATTTAGACCCTTCAAGTTTAAAATATTATATTTAAATAAAAAATATTTTAATCATAGATAGAATATCTAATATTTTAAATTTTATAATCAAAATTCATGTTCTATTATATCATTTATTGAAATAAAATCAAAAATAAAAATTTAATTTTTTCTAATATACAATTATACTATCTATTAAAATAAAAGTAAAAAATCAAATAAGGAGGCTAATTCATTCATAAAAGAACATGAATTTTATAACTAAAATTCATGTTCTATAATGAATTTATTGTATACTAATTAAATTTTTATTTTTAATTTTATTTCAATAAATGATACAATATAATATGAATTTTGATTGAAATATTTTTGATTTAAATATAATATTTTAAATTTGAAGAGTCTATGTATTATATGTCTATAAATTTTAAGAGGTCTGAGTATAATTTATTAACGAATATCCTATCGGATATTGATAATAAAGGTTTAAATATGATGTACATACAAATTTTAGAGATTTGTATATAATATTTTAAAGATGAGAGTAATTAAATGACAAATCCGTCCGGGTGTGAATGTAATTCTTCCTATTCTATATAAGGCCGCGTCACCCGACACGATTAACTTTGCACTCGCTGTTGGCGTTTCTTACCTCTTTCATCAGCATAATTTCGTCTCAGCGATCCAGAAGGCACACTCGCTGGCTTTGATTCTAAAATTGACACAGTGAAGCTCACCACCACCACCATAAATTGTTGCTGTCAGGAAAACCCTAATTTTATACTTCCTCAATCTCTCTCCAATTTCTACAAAAACCTAGTTTTGCATATGGCCTCCAGGAAGAAAGAATCAGAGGGCATAGCCTTGCTCTCCATGTATGGCGACGAAGACGATGAAATGGAAGACATTGAAGACCATCAAAACGAAGTCCTCAACGTCAATATTGAATATAATGTTGCAGAAGATGAGAATAGGATTGTTGCTTCTGATTCTGGTAACGATAGCACACCATCACCTCCACCACCACCACCACCACCACAAGAAAAGCAAAATATTGATGACCATTTTACCCCTAGAACTGTCAATTTTGCGACTTCAACACCAGAACAGCCTCAGATTTCTCTCTCTTCGCCACAACCACAGCAATTGGTGGTTCCGGACTCGGATAGAAGCCGTAAGGGTACGCTTACCATTGTTGATTACGGACATGATGAAGTCGCCATGTCCCCAGAAGCTGAGGTATACGCTATTCTATATGTATTTATAACATGTACTAGCGGCGGCCCTTGTGCGAGTCATGGAATTTGCGCACATCTCTTTCCCTTTCCCTCTCCTTCTTCCTCTCCGCCCTCCTTCCCCTTCCTTTTTTGTATTGTCATCAGGTTAGACAAAAAATTAGGGTGATAAAACAATTATGAAAAGTTAGGGTGGTAAAGCTTTTTTTTTTTTGGGAAAAAATTTAAATTAGTGATAGTTTTTTTTTTAAAGTAAATTAGTGATAGTTAATTGGTGGGGTAAAGGGTTGTTACGTGGGACATATCTTAGAATATAATTTGTTAAAACAGTGTGATAATAAAATAATTATAAGTTTAAAAAAAGAAAATGGGAGGGAAGGCTTCTCAAGTCTGCGCCCACCTAGTTTGAGTGCTTTATATATATGGTATAGACAGATATGTATGGTGGAGGAAAGCCTCTAGCATATTATGTGATAGAAGGATACCAATGAAATTAAAAGGCAAGTTTTATTGAAAAGTTATAAGGACAATATTATTTTATAAGACGGAATGTTGCGTAACTAGGAAACAACAGACCGACAAAATGAGTGTAGTGACAAAATGAAAATGGTAAGGTGGATTTGTGAAAAAACTAGAAAAGATAGAATATGAAATGACTGTATTAGAGAAATGATAAGAGTAGTTCCAATTGAGTATAACTTTAGAGAAAATAGATTAAGATGGTTTAGTCATGTTCAATGGAGGTCGATAGAGGCACTAGTTAGGAAAAGTGATAGAACTTCTTTTAATGGTATTAGAAGTAAAGGTAGAGCTAAACTAACATTGAACGAAATAATAAGAAAAGATATGAAAATATTTTACTTAAATGAGCATATAGCACATGACTGAAATAAAGGGCGAAAACGGACTTATATAGTTGACCCCAAATGATTGGGACTTAAGGCTTGGTTTGGTTTGGTTTGGTTTGGTTTGGTTTGGTTTGGTTTGATTAGATGTATATGTATGGTGTAGGAGGAAAAAAATTGTACCTTCAAGACTTTTGCATTGACTGGGATGAATGTGAAAGTTGAGCAATTGGTGAATTGATTTGAATGAACAATTGGATATACCTTTATCTTGCAAAATGAAAAATTTGTCACGATTGAACTTAGCCAGGGACACTCTAATGCTTAAGTTAGTAATGGTCCGAGAATAAGCTAGCAAAATGCAAAGAAAAGAGTGCATAGCTTAGACTTAAGTTCATCTGGTATCAATAGAAACATGTCCTGATCAAATTGGACTTAAAGAGTTTGATTGGAATATGGTGGCACACCCATAGCCAGATCTGCCCTAATTTGTGTTTTAGCTTGTTTAGGCTTTCATTTTTATTGATCATGCTTTTAGGTCTAGCCGTATCGAATCTTCATGACCACCTTTGGTCATTATTTAAGGATAAACTCGCTATGCTTTATGATGAGCTTTATCCTTACCCCATTTGCTGTGGAATCAGAGTTCCATTTGGATACTAACTTGTTTGAAGTGTCCCTACATGAAGACACTTCCTACATACTCTTGCATGCTTGCGAGTGTTCTCCCCATTCCTACAAATGAAGCTTTCAAAAGGCGTGGTTGCTGCAGCCACTCAACGAGATGTGGGTTAATTATGGCTATGCCCTCAAAAATGTTGCTTCACCGAGCCAACCACTTCTTGTGGGGTTCAATTTTGTTGGGTTATCCTTACATTTGCTCGGTGGTTGCATATTGGGTCGGTCAAAGGTACTCTGAGTTTTCAAACAGTCATTTCCTTAATATTTGCACGTGTCAATTGTCATGTGCCTTCTTCAGCTGTCATTGATGAACAAGGATATTCTGAATGCCTTTATATGATTATATTAAAGACAATTTTTTTTGAATAGTTAACGATAGTTGATTTGTGAGTTCTGCTTCTTGGGCTCAGTGGTAAAATCAAGGGAAAAAAAATGGCTTTTAGCCTTGATATTCTTAAGAATATCTTTTTTATTTGTGTTATTGATGAGGAAAGCTAGAATTATGTTAAATTGAAATATAGTTAGCATTCGACTATGTTTTTATTGTATATGTATTTATATATGGTTGAAAATTTTTAATCCAATAGTTAGGGTCAATTGGGTGGAGAATTTTGGTACCGAGAGTTATCAATTTTTTAATGAATTTTTTTCTTAATTTTATTCATTAGGATTTTTTTTAATGGTTATTTTTGGCAATAAAGTGATAATTCTGTGAAAAAATGTATTGCAATGAGTATTGAATCAATGTGGCATTGTTTTAATTGATTTTCGGTTTTGGGTGACTGATAATTGTAGGAGGGGGAAATCACAGCCACTGGTCGAGTTATGTTTGGTGAAGAGCTTCAAATGGCTAATGGTATGTAGGGATTCTTGTGCCAATGATATGTCACTTATATTATGCCTGTATCTGTGGTATGTTAAGACATGTGCTGTCTTGTATTTGTTCAGTTTGTGGTGAGCATCATTTAGCTTGTAGTTTAATCAAGTAATTTAATCAAGTAATCAATTGCAGTTGTCTTTTGCAATTGTTTGGAGTAAGTGGTGTTATTATCCATTACCATTCTGGTGCTAATGGCTTTTGATTTTAATCCATCTATTGGGTTATTCAAGATTCATAATCCTTGTAATTGTTAACTAAACTACTGTAACCACATGAACAATATTTTGTTACTGAATGAGCAATATTTGATATCTTGGTACGGAGAATCTGCTGGCTCGCATTTATTGTTGCTCTAGCACTATGTATTTTGCTTACTCACTTTGATCTGTTGTCTATGTAGAGGATCCATCATTACTTGGGAAGGAAGGAACATAGATAGGGCAAAATAAAAATGAACGATATTAGAAACAAACTAGGTATGGCTCCAGTAGGTTATAGGTAAGGATATGTGGTGTAGCTTTCAAGATAATATGAAAGACTCATGAGAGTACTTAAGGAATGGTTTATGCAAATGGAGTGCTCTTAAAAAAAAGGTGGTGGTTAATTTGAAAAAGTCAAAACTAAAGATGTTAGAATGGTTGTCAACTTCTCTGTGGCATTTAGTAATCAAGAGCAAATATGGTTTACAAATGGATGGGATACTAATACGTTGAAAGGGGAAGTCTCCGATGCCTGTGGAAATTCCCAATATTTAAGGTTTGTGGTAGATAGTGGGGAGAAAATTCGTTTTTGGGAGAATGGTTGAGTGGGGGAGTCATCTTTTTCACTTATGTATCCACGTGTCCATCAATTAGCGTACTCCCATGGCGCTTCCATTGTTTCTTTGCTTAGGTCTTTTAACCATCCATACTCTTGGGATTTTGGATTCTGTTAGAATTTAGATGACACAGGCACTACGAATTTTACTTTATTTCTTGATGTTCTTAATGATTGTTTGTTGAATCTAGAGTCATGTGGACAAGAAAAGGTGGGTGCTTGAGTCATCAGATGTGTTCTCTTGTAAATCCTTCCTTATTCTTTTTTGGATGAATATTCTTGTCCTATTTTTGCCCCTGCTTTGATTTTATGTAAGGCTGAGGTCCAGATCAAAGTGAAGATTTTTGCATGGACTGTCGCATGCTAAGATTAATATTTGTGATATGCTTCAAAAAAGAAGGCCTTTGAGTCATCTTCCTCCCGAGGTGTATAATGTGTAAAGCTGATTTTGGGTGCATTGAGTACTTATTTTTGCATTGCTCGGTTGCTTCGGCTTTGTGGTATAAGCTATTTTGATTGGCGAATTTGAGTTGGGTGTTCCTTGCATCATCCACTTCCTTCTTCAGTAGGGATATGAAGGGTTTTGGATGGATGGATAAAGGTGCGACTCTTTGGAACTATGCTATAATTGCTACATTTTTGGTTATTTTGAAGGAAAGAAACGCAAGAATTTATGAAAACCGACACAAGTGTTTGGATGGGTTATGGGATCATATTCATTTCTTAGCCTCATTTTGAGGGTCAGTGTCTAAAGATTTCAAAGGAATTCCGCTTTTCGCTATTTTAGCATAGTGGAGGGAGATTTGTAATTTATATGCTTGTTATGTAGTTTTGATTCTTTCTTTGTTCTTTTCCATTCGGCTGGATTTCTTATCCAACTTGTTTGATGTAACCTTCATGTTCTCATTAATCCAAGTGCTTCGTTTCTTATCAAAAAAAGAATGGGCTGTCAACTTCATAATTGCTCAGAAGAGACGGCTTCAAATGTAGTAGTATGGTTCATTTAGGCAGGGATAAAATTTGGTTATGATGATGACAATCCCAGGGCGTACAATAAGGAGTTGGTCTCCTTGTATATACAGAAGCTCCTTTTTGGGATGGAAAGGAAATATTTTTGGGCACCTTTTGTATTTTTGCATGTTTCCTCATTTTTTACCGGCTTTTTTCTATGTGCTTTGCAGTCACTACTGATATATGATTAGATATGATTAATAGGGTGACCTTTAGGGGATCCATCATTGGGGTTAGACAGACTAGTCATCTATTTCCCTTTCTTTTGGAGCATGTCATATTTCTTTTCTAGTGGCAAGGACCTCGAAAGTTAAGCACATCGATTTTTTTTTTTTTTTGGGCATATCAGTATAGGAGGATGTATATCTCTCTCTTAAGTGACTTTTTCTAATTTAGGGAAATCTGTTCCTGAGAAAAAGGGCATTCTGCTCACAAAAAGAAAAGGTACATTTTGTTTATTGTTATGGAGTGTGGTCATAGCTATAGGTTTGGGATCTTCGAACAGTGGGGCAGTAGAATCTATTTGGATATTAATTCAGAATGTCTTAAATGAGCAGGATACAAACAACATTTTTTTCTTGCGGGTTGATTTAGTGATTTAGTGTTTAATTTCTTTATGACTTTTTTGTGTTAAGGAACATCATAAATATGATGGAGAAAAGTTGACAGATTCTTAATTCCTTATGTCCTTATAAATTTTCTGCATTTTCAGGTGGTTTCCAAGAAAATACACAACAACCAAGAACTGTACAGGTTCTAACACCAAATGCTCAAGCTACGCCTCAAGTATTTGATCAACATGATCCGTCAGAATCTGATGCCATGAACTATGCTTTAAATGAATCAGAATCTGCAGAGGTTGAAGAAGCTATTAAGATTTCTGTGGAAGAGTCAAAAGATGTTGATCCATTGGACAAGTTTCTTCCCCCACCACCAAAAGACAAGTGCTCTGATGAACTGCAAGTAAGTACCTATGAGAAAAACTGTTTGTTTAAAAGGATTTATTGCCTTCCAACTGGACGGGAATCATAATATGAAGAGCTGCTTCTCAAAATTTTACATTAAACAATGGGGCTATAAACTAAGTTGAAGATGAAATTGTAGGCGCATTGTCACATGCTCAAATTCGTGGATCTTGAAATGGTCATTTCAACATTTATATTTCTCATTTATCAGAGTATCAAATTTTCTTTCAAATACAACCACTATTTTATCTACTGTTAGTATTTTGTCCGAGGCATGGGCTCTTCACATTCAATGCCTGAAACTTTTCTAAGGCCATACCCATTCTATATCGTGTACTTACAATTTTATTTCTTTGCGTTGTTGAGAACAAGTATATAGCTGTTTTAGAATCAATATTTGAGGTTATAATACGTGGTTGTTACATTTTATTTGGTTAAGTATTGTAGAATGTTGTGAGATGAGGATAATAGATGTATAAGAAGGGGACGACAGAAATAGAAGGATTTTCTTCTGTCCACTTGGGTTGGCCATTGTAATCCTTTTCTTCTATGAAGTTTGAACTTGAGACCCAAGGTTTCTTCGTTATAATGTAGAAACAACTTGTGGTAGATGAATGAGTTTCATTCAGGCTTTTTTGGAATACGTCCTCCAAAAAAAACGCAAGAAGGATAGCTGTGTACATCTTGTATAGTTCCAAATGTGAAGGTTAGTAGTGTGCCTTGCACTCTTAGCTGTAAGGCAGTTCTAACCAATGCTGAAATGTTAGCTGTTTTACTTTTCAAAGCCCATGATATGTTGGTCCTGCATTTAACGGTGTCTCTAACTAAGACCAAATGCCTGCATTGGGGAATGCAAAGTTTTCCCCTTGGAAATTGATAATTTTATGAAAACCTAAATGCGCATTGCCAGTTATATGTTGTCCAGATTAAGGTTTGCCAATTTTTCCTTTTGAGTAATGCTAGATTTGTGGCCTTTGTCTCTGCACAATGCCCTTGTTCTTACAGAATATAGCTTATATGTGATGCTGGCCCTTGTTTTTTCAAAATAGACTTGTCCATTTTGATGCAATTTTTAACTACTACTTTGTTATGTGTAGCTTTATATAGTCAATTTGATTGCATATCAATTATTTTTTGCCATTGAATCGCACCCAAAATTTACTTGTCTTTCTTGCATGTTTATTCTTGTTTACTCTATCTGTCCCTGAAAAATTGTCCTCATTTCCTCTTTAGGATGTCCCTAAAATATGGTCCATATTTGCAACTCAAAGATACATTATTACTATCTTTCCAAATTTAACCTTTGAATTCTGAAATTAAAACGGAATAGAGGTGGAAAGTTTCTCCTACAATACTTACATTGAGGGAACAATGGTTAACTAAAAATTGTTTGACGTCTGTCTGCACATTAATATTTATCTTTTAAGCCTTTATGCCAAGTTCCAAGAAGGCTATTTTCAGCAATGGAACGAGCAACTTTGCTGAAGTAATAATCTCCTGACTCCTTTTAACATGTCTCTACTTATTTGTAAATTCTTGAAGTTGTCCTGAAATTCTTCTCCTTGCTGATTTGTTTCTGAAGGAGAGGATTATAAGGTTTCTGGCAGTAAAGAAGAATTATGGAAGGAGCTTTAATGCAGAAGTACGCAATAAGAAGGAATATAGGAACCCTGACTTCTTGCTTCATGCAGTGACGTATCAGGACATTGATCAGATAGGTTCTTGCTTCAGCAAAGATGTATTCGATCCTCATGGATATGACAAAAGTGACTACTATGATGGAATAGGTCACTAACAATTTTCTGTATTCTCTCTTTCTTCATGTGTCTCTATCATCTATCTGTCTATCTAGCGAGCTGTTTATATATTACGTAGGTTGATTAGATGTACCCAGTACTCTGCAACTTCTTGTTATTAATATTATTGTCTGCTTTCCCATCTTAGTTTTGGTGCCTTTGACTTATCTCTACAATGCTCTGAGTAGATTGTGTAATGCAAATTGCTTGTTGGAAACTTTCTCTGCTGTCTTATTTGTGTTGCTGTATTGTTTGTTTGAAGAATAAAGCTTAGACTTTCCTTGAAAGAGAAACAGGCAATATGCAGAAGTGCCACATCAGCCCTACTGCCCTGCAATTGTCATTCTATTTTCTGTTTTGCTTTGTGGCTGGCTTTATTATGGGGGTTATGAAGAATTTATCATCATTCGTTGTGCATTCTTGTGTCTTCTAGTAAGTCGTAGTGTTTTACGCCTTCCTTTTTATATGAATATGCTGATTGATGTTCCTCAAGGTTATTTGGAAAATCCCCTTTCATGTGCTGCCATATCCACATATATATATAAACACAAAACACATGGACAATTGAACATATAGTTTTTGGTTTTTGGATGAGGCCGATGGGCTATGATATTGAGTCATTGACCCCACATTCTCTTAACAGAGGCTGATATGAAGCGTGAGATGGAGAGAAAGGAGCAAGAAAAGAAGAAGAATCAAAAAGTTGAATTTCTTTCTGGAGGAATACAACCTGGATCAGTTGTTCCTACGGCCCCCAAAGTTAGCATGGCAATTCCAGGTACAGAAACCATCTTTCCTGTGAATGCAGTGGTGGATGTTGACTTCCAATGATGTGTGCCATGTCTTGACTCTCTTGGTGGGTTGCTATTTTCTGCAGGTGCAGCAGCCATGCCTGGTGGTGGGTTGCAGTCAGTTCCTGCTGTAGTTGATACTGTAGCTCGGGATGGTCGGCAGAATAAGAAATCAAAGTGGGATAAGGTCTAACTTGGTGCATTTATTTATGTATAGTTTTTTCAAGATACAAATTACCACTGAATGAATCACCATCATTTCTTGCATCCTTTGGTTTCAGGTGGATGGTGATCGACGGAATCCTTTGGCCACTGGAGGGCCGGATTCTGTATCTTCTGTTGGGGCACATGCGCTCCTATCTGCTGCCAGTGCTGGTACTGGATACACTGCCTTTGCGTAAGTTCTACATATAAATTTTAAGCTTTTCGTGGCTTATCTCCTTATCTTTCTCCTGCCATTAGTTCGTGTGCAATTTTTTCTCTGAATTTTTTATGTTTCATTTGTCAAATGCGATACATTTTTTTTCCAGATGCAATTAACATCCAGTATTTTAGGTTGTAGGGAGTAAGTTGCTGATACGTTCTCATAATGGGACTGTTTTTTTTCTTTTTGTAATGTTTTCCCAGAAAGAAAATATTTGTCTTGGATAGTTGGATTTTTCGACAAAGGCTGATATCACTTTTAGTTGTATAGGAAATATATATCTTCTTCACTCTTGTATCTTTTTCCATTGATAAAAGTAAATGAGAATTCTGTTGCTTTGCGAGCTTGTAAGCATTGTTGATGAATGCAGCTATCAGCCATTGAGACTTTTGTTGCTCACTAAAAAGAGAAAAAAAATGATATTGTATGTGTCCCAGGCTTGCTGTTTAATGTCTGAAATCTCCATATGAGTGGTATAGATTTTCCCTGCCCCCCAGTGTTATTGAGATGGGTTTAGCATTGGTGGTACTGTGGAGTTATTTGACTTTTGACTACCCTGTCTCTGTTTATAAGCTTATCTTTTGGTTGTATATATGTCTGTATAGTTATTTAAGCGTAACTAGTTGACTATTTTTGTGTGTTTTGTTCAGATTTTGGGGGCAGAGATTATGAATCTGAATCAGAATCAGAATCAGTCCCCATGCTGAACTTCTTTTTATCATCCTTAGCTACCTATACGCTTTTTAGGGAAAGCAAAAAGGGGGAGGGAAAAAGGGGGAAGGGGGGAATTGAATTGATTGATATTGACATCTTCTTTATGTACTACTTGTAAAGGTCCACACTCAGAACTCAAGAGGGAGAATAAGACATTATAAGTACTAATCCATTTGGAAATTTACTAAAAAGAATATGTAAAGATGTATCAATTGGTGTAGGGTGGGCAGGGCAGTAGAAATATTACCTTACCTTGTTCTGAACCTGATGCAGCTTGAAGGTTGCTGCAATCTTCCATGTCTTGGCAGTGACTTATGCCTGTCTTAGTAGGAAAAGGCATGGTTGGTTCTGTGGACTGGCTCAATTGTCCACATTCATGCAATAGTGGCATAATTAAATTGCCACTTTCATTTAAAATGATGCAATAAAAGTTTGTGTAGAATAATGCACTTGAGAAAATGTGCTCATGCTCAACCCTTGGCCTAGAGCCACCCCCCTTGGTCAACCTGTGACGTCTTCATCTTCCCTTGGGAAACCATCCTTCCTTGAGTGGCAACCCGTGCTACCTTGGCTCACTCATTACCATTGAACCACCTCTTTATTGTTTTTGTATTGGTACAATTGAAATATCCCGGTGAGAAAGATTTTCTTTTCATATTGGTGAATCAAAAATTCAATGCTCTGATGAAGAAGAAGCACATGGCTTTTGCTACTGGAGATTATGATGTCTCCACTGCAAGGGTACTTCAACATATGAGCCCGAGGAAATTGGGTGGGCTGAATCTCCATATCTTTTGACTGAATAAGTAAACCTTGTGTTCAACTTAGTTTGCATAGACAACATGGTTATACATTTTATGTATACACGCACATTCACAGAAAGGTCAAGCACAAGAAAACAACCATGCCTTTTGATCATGAATATATTAGGATATGATGGATTGTGTTTTCAAAAAAAAGTGGGAGAAATGGGTTTGTTGGTATTCGGCCCTAGTTTAACCAACTCGAGCTTTCTAACGGTTTTTTTTTTTTTGGAATAGGGAACATTGAGTTTTCTGACTTTGACCAACCTTGAGGTGGTCTCGGTGGGTTCAGTTGTAATTTGGGGATTATATCTGGTGGTGGTGGCAGCATTGTTCAGCTGTCTTTGGAGGGGCTCTGGCATTTAAATTTTTTTTTTTTGTGAGTAAATGGTTTCATGGAATCGATAATGTTGCAGTGGCCATGATGATTGATGGGCTCCATGATGTTACTGTGGCCCCCTGGGGTCAGATGGGCTCAACAGCAATATGATAGCTATGGTGGAAACTGGCCAATTCAAGGGAGGGAGAGGCAAGGTGGTGAAGGAGAGAGTTTTTAATCCTATGGCCTCATAGTTTTAACATTGCAGGCGTGCAATTTCAGATACTCGATATTATCACTGTAACATGGATGGCTCTATGATTCCCCTCCCAAAAATAAATTTAAAAAAAAAAAAAAAAAACATGGATGGTTCTATGGTTGTTTGATAACATAAGTAACATGGAAGAAATAAAAGTGGGCAATTTGCTATTTGCGTTTGTTTTTTCTGCGCCTGAAATTTATAATGACATTATTTTCAATCCTAGAACAGCATGTTTAGTTTTCCATTTAATTGCAGGCAACAGAGACGACGGGAGGCTGAAGAAAGAAGAACAAGTGAAAAAAAGTTGGAAAGAAGATCTTGACACATTGAGGGTTTGTGATGATAGTGTCACTGTCAGCCACACTAATTTGAAGACTTATAGAATGTCGGGGCCAAAGATTGTATGCTTATACCTTACAGTCGGATTGTTTGTTCTGTACATGGCCAGGATGAAATTTCAATGCTCTTATTGTAAATATTACCTCCTAATTTCTTCTAGCACGATTGCTAAATGGGCGCAGATTTTTTTATTTTTTTTTCACTTTACCTTTTTATGTTCTCTTCACCTTTTTTTGCCATATGTATAACAGAAATGCAAGTATTGAATATGTTCTGAGCTGAGTTTGAATGGGCTTATTGTTGATATGGGTTGAATTTTTAATTTCTTGAAAACAGTAGGAAGAATAGTACGTTTTAGTGCCATTTATTTGGTAGCTTAGTCTGAAGGTAAATGTGGGTGGATCGTGATAACGAGTGTTTATCTCTTGAATTGATACATCTCGGATTATTTCTCAATTATACCTCTTAGATCCGGAGTTGTTTATGGAACCGATAAAAAAAAAATGGTACCATATTGATATTTATTATATTTGTGGGTATTTTTTACCGTTGTTGTGAATATTTTTATAATTGTTTTGTACTGAAAAAAAAGTGGTAAAAACACTTATAACAGTGATAAACTAGTCCTTCTAGTGTTTTGATGATACAGACGAATTTCAATCACAATCTTTTAGAACTCTAGGACTCAAGACTATCATTAGAGATTTTATCCATTTTATACTCAAATCCATCTCGGAAGATCAAGGTTGGTCGGCGGTGAACCTCACTAGGGGTATACCTGTCAATCAGGTTTTTTGCGTCTTATGAGTTTATTTGTTCATTGACTCGTACACATGTTAAATTTTTTGATTCGTGTTTCAAGACAAATTAAATAAAGAGTTCACAGACCAATGCTTAGAGCACGGGCCCATTAAAATAATAAATTATGAAGGTATAGTACTAAATTTTTTTATCGATGCCATGGTTAGGTCTTTTCAATCCTGTTATAAATGGAAGTTTTGTGCACGACTAAGTAAATGATTAGCATTACTTGGTTGAAAAAGAGAAGTTGATGGAGTCCAGGTTTCCAAACCCTTGTTAGCTGGAAGCTTTGACTCCTTGGCTCAATCTGACAAAGAAATCTACTAACTTTGCAAGAAAGGCTATGAAAAAGTGTCATTTTTGTATGCTTTTTCGGTGTACCTCTCCCCAATTCTTCTACATTCAGTCTATGTTTATCATTGATATGCCCTTCCACATCCCTAGCCGAAAGGAATCTCTTTGCAAAAAATAATTTGAAAGATGATGTGCCCTACCTTGTCATATCTATCGCAAAATTCAGCTACATTTAGGATCTATAATTGAACTGAATTTTACGAGTTCAAATTAAGTTTGTCGAGCTCATTTTTTTAAACAAACTTAAAAAATTATTAAAACTCGACTCGTTTAAAAAATGTGTTTAATTCGAGCCGAACTCGAATTGTTCGAATCGAGCTTTTTTATATTCGTTTTCTAAACGAGTCTAAAAATTGTTTAAGCGGCTCGTGAGTTGATTCTTATCCAAGCCGAGCCCAACCCGACTCAATTATCAACCCTAGCTATATTACCCTAACTTTCCTCATTTTTCTCTTGGTTTGTGCATGTTACATTTTCCTATACAAGATATCATTTTCTTTTCGTCGGATTTGGATCGTCTTTAATATACTTCTCAATTATTCATTATACATCCAGCTACATGTACTGAACTATATTATATATCATTTGGAAGAGCTTTGTATAGTTATATTTTAGATCGTAACGTAGTGATTGTTCTCTCTGAGTGATATTGTGTTGAGAGAATTTGGATGATTTTGTGTTGTTATTCATGTGCTTGGCCACTAAGATCTTGTCTGTCTAATACCTTGGTCATCGTCAAAGGTATCGGTGACCACTCGACAAGATCATGTTCCCTCCACCGAACCGGTCATTTCGGACACAGGACTAGAGACTTTTGCAGTAAGGGATCTCATAATTACATAACACTGTCTACAACTTTGCATACTAGGGTAGGATGCTTATAATATATCCCCAAGGTCACACCACCTATGGTTGTAATTTGCAAACTTTGTTGTGTTTCTTTAACGGTTCTATGTTGGGTTAGCGGTTGACTTAATGTCTATTATTTTCGATGTCAAATTTTAAGGTCTTAAGGTTGCGAGTTTGAATTTCATCGTTATTGCTCCAAAATCTGCTAGTATCAACAGTTTTTTGGCCGATCCATGGCTCAATAACTGTCGTGCTAATGATCCCGTAATTGGTCATAGACAAAATTTGGTATTAAAATTTGATCACTCAAATATTTTAGTGTTTTGTGGCAAAAGCTTTGGTCGATGGCGGGATCACTCAATTATTTTTATCTTGAGGTTAGCGATTAATTTAATGACTATTAATCTTCTTTCCCGCGTTTCTGCATCGTTTATGTATCTTTTTTATGGTACTTTTTGATTATTGGGTGGTCCACTTGGGCGGTGGCAGGTGGGCACTAAAATAGGGCCGTAAAAGCCAAGAATTTTGGTGCTTCTACAGGTAAAAGGTAAAAACTTGAGCTTTATATAAATACTGAAGCTAGGCTCGTTTCTCTATGCTTCTTGTCTTTGCTTCAAAAGAGAGACGTTGGAGATTTTTGTACACTGCTCTGTTCTGTTCTGTTCTGCTCTGTTCCTTCACACGTTGGGCCAGAGTCTGACACTATTTGGGGGATAAAATACACTTTTAGCTGTCGAAATATGTGTTTAATGTCTATTTGATATCTAAATTTTTAATTATTTTTATTTGATCTCTAAAATTTTTAATTTATATTTACGTAATCCAATCTTATATGTCCGTCAAAAAATCGTAACCATTCTGATCACGCCTCAATCATACAGTTCCTAATTTTATGTTTATTTGGCTTAGAATTCTAAACCTGTATTTATTTGGTCCCTCAAATTTTTGATTTATGTTTATTTAGTCTCACGTGATTAGCACATAACTAGAGGAGTCAATAATTTTTGGGAAAATTTTATTAACACTCCCTCTAGTTAGACATAAATTCAAAGACACCCCCCCTCCTCATTCTGAATCTTCACTGAACTCCCTTTTGGTTTACACTGTTAAATCAAAGACACCCCTTACCGTAACCGGCCGTTACTGAAAAAGTGTTGATGTCGTACCAAATTTTTTATGAAATGCCAATTTTACCCATCTTATTCACATGAAACTCTTGTCCCCCCCCCTCTCTCTCTCTCTCTCTCTCTCATGCCTTAACAACTTAATCACCTAATTGTAAAAACGTGGCAGTAAATCCAAGCCACTGGTTGTAGCATGAACTGGTGAAGAATAATATAACATATTCATATAAAAAATTTAGTGCTATGAATCTGTGACACCGTTAAAAAAAAAAAAAAAATTTGGTGATACCGTACACTTAAACATAATATAAGGAAAAAATTCAAAATAATTTTTTTTTTAAAAAAAAAACAGGTAACACTGTACACTTAAACATAATACAAAGAAAAAATTTTAAATAATTTTTTTAGAATTTTTTTTAAAAAAAAATCAGTGATATCTTACGCTTAAAAATAATATAAGAAAAAAATTTAAAATAATTAAAAAAAAAAAGAAAAAAACGGTGACACTGTACGCTTAAACATAAATACAAGGAAAAAATTAAAAATAATTTTTTTTAAAAAAAAAAACAACCGATAATACCATATGCTTAAACATAATACAAATAAAAATTTTAAAATAGTTTTTTTAGAAATTTTTTTAAAAAAAAAATAGTGACACCATACGTTTAAATATAATATAAAGAAAAAATTCAAAATAATTTTTAAAAAAAAAAACAACGCTGACATTATACGCTTAAACATAATACAAGGAAAAAATTCAAAATAATTTTAAAAAAAAACGGTGACACCGTATGCTTAAACATAATATAAGGAAAAAAATTCAAAATAATTTTTTTAGAATTTTTTTTTAAAAAAACCGGTGACATCATACGCTTAAACATAATACAAGGAAAAAAATTCAAAATTATTTTTTTTAAAAAAATCGATGACACTGTACACTTAAACTATATAATATTTATATATAGTTTAATAGTATTACACATAACACTTGGAAATAGGAATATATATTTATATATAATTTAATAAAAAATAATTGGTGAATATGTAATTTTTTATAACATTCATGGGTAACATAGTGAAGCGTCTATTTCCTTCACGTTTGTTAGCCCACCAACACTGACAAGGGAGGTCAGTGAAATTTCAGAAAATGTAAGGGGGGTCGTTGAAGATAGACCTATTTAGAGAGAGTGTTGATGAAATTTTCCCATAATATTTTGACGGACATTTGAGATGGGACCACATAGATACAAATTATAAATTTTAGGGACCAAATGAACACGCTTTAAAAATTGAAGGCCAAATAGATACTACACATACTTTGAAATTAAAGTGTATTTTACCCTTTATTTTTTCAACAGAACAATGCAATATAGAAAAATTCATACCCTAAAAGAAAAGGAAAGATGTTTCAGGTTTTTTCATATAAGAGTAGGAGTTTATGTATTCAAATATTGTCTCCCATTTAAGATCGTTCTTGACTCTTATGTGATTATTAAGTAGGGTATGTTTCATGAAAGTAATACGATTTATTGTTTACTTTGGTAACGTTGTGGTAAAGGGCTATCTTTTTGAATTAGGAATAATGACACAAATCGGACATTTTATAGTGAGGGTATTTTCATGGTTACGATCAAAGGTTACTACCTACATGATAAGCAAAAGTTTTTTGAGACACATCATATTATGTAAAAAGGAGCACAAATTTTTATTATTTTTTGTAAAGATAGGTGTTGTGAGAGTTTTTCATCTCTAGATAAGCCCTTTATACAGATAAACCATCTTTATTATTGTCCAGAACCAAAGCAATACGAAAAGATAAAGGTAAGAGCATGACAAAATGATTCCTTTTCTTTTTCTTTTTTTTATTTCTTTAAACACAAAAAGTGTAAAAAACAATGTGATTGTTTTAACTCAGTCATATCGCGTAACATCCTAAATCGAATATGCAAAGACACTAAAACGGTTGAAAATTGATTGAAAAGACAGTCTCTCGACCCCCCCCCCCTCCCCCCCAACACCCAAAAAAAAAAAACCCTACCTAGCCGCCTACTTACTCATGTTATCGAAAGTCAAGACTATGGTCTAACAAAAAATAGAAATCGTCTATATCAAGTAATACGTGAATTGTTCAGTAGTGAGAGGACAATGGGGGGGGCGGGGGGGGGGGAAGCAAATGCTCCAATGCAATTTTAAAAATAATTTTGGGTTCAATTGAAATTTAAAAATAAAAATAAAAATTCGCTCCCATTAAAAAATTTTGCAAAATTTATTGTTTCCTTCATTTTTGAATAATACTTTTATAACCTAAAAATTTAACTAAATTTATGGACATTATTATGAGTCAAGTGACGTAATCCCAATGAAAAAATCCACGAATTGCAATTAGAATAATATTATTGGATCATATAAGCCACCACATTATTAAGTCATGAAATTAAATTTAATTTTTAAGTCTAAATAACATTATTATTTATATTTTAGTGAATAAGTGAATTTTTTTCATGAATAAAAAATTAGACATAAATTTTTTTTCATACGCTTTAATGTCGTAATTCTCTTTTGTCCCCATAGTGTGCATATGTTCTCAAATATGAAATAAAATCGGACTTGAAAACGTGAAATCATACTTTTAAAACTATAATTTAAACTACCAAACCCTAAGATTAAATTTAAATATTGACAGATCAGCATGTTTGTGATAAAGTTAAGTAGTCACCATTCTCAATTTTATCAAAGGACAAATGTGAACCCTAATCTAAGAAAAAAAATCATTAATGCTTCAAAGATTATTTCTTAAACAACATCTTTAATAACTCAACTTTCACTGATCCCATCTTAATCTAATCATATTTCAAATAGCATTTTTTTAAAAAAAAAATTTAATAAGTAAAAAGCTTAGTCCTCTATAAGGCCCACATCACAGAATATCCCAACAAATGTTAAAGATGACATTCTATAAGCATTGAGGAGTGCCATGTTCATAGATAGAAGATGTGGCCCTTTTAAAAAGAAAAAGGAAATGCCTCTCTCTTTCTTTATTTTACTTTCACTACTTTTAAGGCAAAAACATTATTTATTTGCAACTATTGAAGCTCCTTTCACTGGTTTTTTAACCCAATTAAAATTTCACTTTGTATACATATGTTCGAGTATATGTCATATATTCGGGTATAATCGAGGGTAAATTCTGAGCGTATGAATCGGTCTTTCAACTCATACATCAATTAAATCAAGACTTATACTTTAGTGGAGATTCAAAGTAACACTAGATACTTAGATATGATTTGTCCAAACAATTGAGATCCGTTCTATTAACCAACCACGAATTTTTTGCTCCGGAGAACTTAAACCCTTATTTAAAAAGACAAAATTTTTACAAAGTAAGAATACCATTAGACCAAAAGTTATTGATATATGTCATATATAAGTATGTATAACCTTATAAAAATTGGTTTGTATATGTATAATTGGATATGCACCAATTTGTTTACTTATCAATCAATCCGATTGAAATCCAAGATTGCTGAAATTAAATTCATAATGGATAATTTCTTTTTTTTTTTTTGGGAAAGTCATAATGGATAATTTCGTGTCAATTAACAGGACTTGATTATGGTACAGACAAAAAAAAAATGGTACTGTACCAACAAATTTTACTACTTTAGTCTTTAATGAGTGTTTTTATAATTTTTGTGGATCATTTTAGTGTAATTTTTTTTTACCAACTTTGTGAATATTTTTTTACCATTGTTATGAGTGTTTTTACAATTATTGTAATAATTATTTTTACAATTTTTTTTAGTACAAAAAGAAATTATCATTTTTATGAGTTTTTTTTATTACTATTGTGGTATCAATTTTTACCACTTTATTTAGTACCATAACAGTAATAAAAACACACATAACAAATGTATGATACTTAATTTTTTTTCTTTCGTGGCGGAGAGAACTCCCAATTAAGAAACAATTGACTATGGTACCGAAAAAAATTTTGATATCATACATCTATGTATCATATTTGTGGTTATTTTTATCAAATTTTTGGTTACTTTTACAACTGTTATGATACCCAAAAAAAATGTTAAAAAAAAATTACCACAATAGTGGTAAAAAAAAATCTATACAAATATGATAAAAACACTCAAAATAATGATAAAAATATTCACAATAATTATAAATTATTCACAAAAATTATCAATTTTTTTATCCTAAAATAATCCACAAAAATTATAAAAATACCCTTTAAAACATTAATTTTTGTAGGTATGGTACCAACTTTTTTTGATAGTATCGTAGTCAAATCCAAGTAAAAATTACTGAGTTTCTTGTGTGATGCTTACAACTGAGATGTTTTTAAAGGAGTTGAGTTGTAAATATTAAATAGGAACAGAGTACAGGAAACCTGGTGACTAACGGTAACATCTGGTTTTGGAAGTTCCTTGAGGGGCAATTTTGGAATGCGAAAAAAGTTAACGGAACTCTGGTAATCAAAAAGCTCAAACAGTGGGAGATAAAACTATGCAAGGACTTTTGAGTGGGTTGCAAGTGCAACTCTCAATCTTACTTTCTATTCTCTCTCCCTCTATAATCTATATGCTGCAATCCCCTGCACTTCTCACTCTCTCTCTCTCTCTCTCGCTCTCGGTTCAATCAACTTTTCTCTTTTGCTTTTCACCATTTTTTGATTCTTCAGCTTTTCTGTTTTGGCTCTTCCTCTTTCTATCTCATTGATTCACTCAAATTCCATGACAATTTGACAAGAAGAACCCAAAACTTGTCTGACTAACTATTGATTGATTCACTAGATACCCAGTTGGATTTCGAGTACAGAGAAGGTTTGTCAAGTGAGTTTTAGTTATGGAAGCTCCAAAACCAGAAGAAATAAGTCATCCTCCAATGGACCAACTTCAAGGTTTAGAGTATTGTATAGACTCCAATCCTTCATGGGGTATGCTTATTATTCAACTTTGATTGAAACCCATGATCTAGTTTTTTTTTTTTTTGGCTTATCTAAGTTTACCTAACTAATCATATTTGCATGGGAAAAACAGGGGAGGCAATAGCTTTAGGCTTCCAACACTACATCTTGGCTTTAGGGACTGCAGTGATGATTCCTTCATTTCTTGTTCCTTTGATGGGTGGATCTAATGTGAGCCAATTACCTTTTCTTGTTCTTTTTTTTGTTGATCAATGTATTTTCATTCTTAGATTAATGCCAAGGCATCAAAGTTGTTTTTAATGCACTTGAGGTTTGAAAAATCACAAAATGTACTCATATGAAACTTATAAAATGTGAGGAATGAATAAAAAAATTGATACCTTGAACATGATTTTGTTTGATTAACGTGTTAATGCAAATGGTGATTATTAGGATGATAAGGTGAGGGTAGTGCAGACTCTGCTATTTGTGGAGGGAATTAATACACTCATACAAACGTTATTCGGAACCCGACTACCGACTGTGATTGGAGGATCTTGGGCATTCATGGTCCCCATTATTTCTATAATTCATGACTCTTCCTTGCAGGCAATCCCAGACCCTCATGCAGTAAGTTGAATTTTATGAACTGTCTTCTTTATGTCTGTTTAATGCCTATACTAGTTCTCATTCTGCAAGTGCTTTATGGCATGAAATTGAACTCCGTTAGCAGCAGAGAGGTTCTTACTGTTAGTATCAGTGTGACGCACTTATTTGGTTTAACTTGTTCTGAGATTGTTCTGGAGACATGGTCAAGCCCGGTGAAGAAATTTCAGTTTCAAAGATTCTGCTCATGAGCGTAATCGTATAAACCTGCCTCAGCTTCACTGCTGAGGACCTATACCATTCTATATTGTAATTAATTATTATTCAAACCATTGTATTGAAGTATAGCTAACAATAAACAAGTGGCATTGATATTGAATTATATTTAAAATTAACCCGTGACCATTATAAACAACTTGCATTTTCTGATTTTTGTAGTCATTTAGAATAGAAATTTTGAATGAAATTGTTAATGGTCATGGGTTCAAGACTAGTAATCTAATTATTCCTTGAAACAAAATTGATGTGTTTGTTTCTATGTCCAGAGATTTCTTAATACCATGAGAGCAACACAAGGTGCTTTGATAGTAGCATCAAGTGTGCAGATTATTTTAGGATACAGTCAGCTGTGGGCTATTTGCTCCAGGTACAACTTCAAGATCATAGATGGGATTTCTATTCTCGATGTAGAAAATAACCTTCCACGTTATGGATTTTGCAATTCAAATCTATACATGTTTCATTTCAGGTTTTTCAGCCCGCTTGGAATGGCTCCAGTAATTGCACTGGTGGGATTTGGCCTGTTTGATAAAGGCTTCCCAGTGGTATATTGAAGAATTTAATTGAGAAGCTTTATGTTTACCTGTCAATTTTCCTTCTTTGGTTCAGAAAATTTTTGTCTGCGTGGAAATTAAAGTATCAACTTTTATCAGGTTGGACGGTGCGTGGAAATTGGTGTTCCTATGCTTATCTTATTTGTTGCCTTCTCTCAGGTTTTTCTATTAATCTTTGCATTCATAAACTTTATCCCTACTCCTGATCTTTACTTGTTGTAAATTTTAACTTCTTGGCAGAAACTAGAACATTGATTGCTAGATCTTTCATTGTTTCTCATCACATGTTAATTGTCTGCAATGAAGTTAGAATTTGATCCTCACTTGGGTTATCTAGAATTTTTCTGATAGAATACATAATCAGAAAATGAACAGAAGCCTGTCAAACTGATATATCTATCGAGGGCTAATGTGTTCCCTTTTCTGTTCTGTCTTTAGTTTACTGCAGCATCAGTTTATGCACAACAATCCAAGCTTCTACTTTCATGACAAATAAAAGTAAAACTAGTGATAGAGTTAATCTAAACTTGCTTTACTTATTTGCTAGAATAGTTGAAATTTTCATCTGAGCAAGCCGCATTTTATCTGGGATTTATAAGAAAAATAATGAGAAGAAAGCAAGGATATTCTCCCTAATGTTGTGGCTGTTCTATTGTACAGTACTTGAAACAGTTTCAGACAAAGAAACTGCCGATATTGGAGCGTTTTGCTCTCCTTATATCAACTACAGTGATATGGGCATATGCACATCTCCTGACAGCCAGTGGTGCATACAAACATAGTCCAGATTTAACCCAAACTCACTGCCGCACTGACAAAGCCAATCTCATTTCTTCTGCACCATGGTTGGTATCGATGACACCAATTTTAGTTGATATATTGTCTGAGTATTTTCGTGTGTATGTTTCTTTCCAGGTCTGTCTAATTACAAAAATGTTTGCATATTCACCACTGATTTCTTGATTTTTACTCTCCAATGTAAATATTTACCACTTTCAGTAACAGGGCAGTGACATATGCTCTCTAAAACTTGCTTTAACTCGTTGAGAGAATTGAACTGCATAATCAACTTACATAGTTCTGTTGACTGCTTTGTTGATTAATTCATGGCTTTGCAGGATAAAAATTCCATATCCGCTTCAATGGGGTGCTCCTACTTTTGATGCTGGTCATGCTTTCGGAATGATGGCTGCTGTATTTGTCTCATTGGTTGAGGTAAACGTCATGTAAATCAGAAGATCAATGGAAGAAAATTATAAACCACTGATGTAACGATAGAATGTTTTTTTCCCCGACAGTCAACTGGAGCATATAAGGCAGCAGCTCGTTTAGCAAGCGCTACACCACCTCCAGCTCATGTTCTTAGCCGTGGCATTGGTTGGCAGGTCTGAAAACTACTACACAAGTTCAATTAATCTTTGACAAGTTTGAGACAATGACAAATAAGTCAATATGGACTACTTTGGACCCCTTTATACTGAGATGAATACAAGAACCCGTTGGGACTCTAAAACTAATGGAGAATTTAATTCACAGTAATGTGAAAAACAAACTGGGTAATTCTAAGTAATTGTCACTTCTTTTCCTGCAAGGTCCTGTTTATCAATGAATGGTGGAAATACATGATTAATATTGATGTGATTAATATTGATGTGATGAACTTCGCCTTTGAACTTACAATATTTTAAGTATAAAGCAAAACTATTTGTTCTTATAGGGAATTGGAATCCTACTCGATGGACTCTTTGGGACAGTCACTGGCTCTACAGTTTCTGTGTAAGTGGTTTGTATTTCCATGTTTCAGCGCTTTGCCCATTGGCTTGGTTGCTTATATACCTTAATTAAGTCGTCCTATAAACAACAGAGAAAATGTGGGTCTTCTTGGAAGCACTCGTGTAGGTAGCCGCAGAGTTATTCAGATCTCAGCTGGATTTATGATCTTCTTCTCAATGCTAGGTTAGTTACATGTGGTACACCTCTCTATTAAATTTCGTTTCTGGGATTTCCTTCCACTTGGTCAATCTGATCCTCTTCGTATACATAGGGAAATTTGGAGCATTGTTTGCATCAATACCTTTCACTATATTTGCTGCTGTATATTGTGTTTTCTTCGGCATTGTAGGTACGTATCTAGTATCAATTCTAATACTCATTGCCCTATACAGCGCATCTCTTCTGTTCTCCTTTATGATAGATATTCTGTCACTGTTTCATGTTTCAGCTTCGGTGGGGTTGTCTTTTTTGCAATTCACAAACATGAATTCAATGAGAAACCTCTTCATTACGGGTGTTTCCCTCTTCCTGGGTTTGTCTATTCCCGAGTACTTCAGGGAATACACTGCTGCTGCTCTTCATGGTCCTGCTCACACCAAAGCTGGATGGGTGAGTTATTCATTTGCACATATATAAACAATATGATTCTGAAGAAGGAATGATAAACCTTGGCCAATGGGGAATGAAAAGGGAATATAAAAAAGGATATTGCGTGTACCTCATAACAACAAAACTCTTTTTCAGTTGTTGACATGGACCTCATAAGTAGGCATGTATGCATTTCCTCTTTACTTCAGAAGATAAATGAGGATTAAAACAACTCGTGATGAGTTAAACTAGACTTGCAACAACATATTTCAATAACTTGTCCACTTCTAAATGTTAAGGGACCGAAAGAATTCAAAAAGAACTTGACAAGTAGGATCAAGAATAAACTTAGGAATACGACAAACAAAGACAAGAATCTACTAGTCAACATCTTCCGCTTGGTGATTTGAGTGAAAAATCAAACAAATGACCGTTCTCCAAACCACTATTCATGCCTCTCCCTCCATTGGGACTTATGCACACTTTCATGGACCTGACATACTTTTTTTTTCTGCTTTTTTGTTGTGCAGTTCAATGATTTTCTCAATACCATCTTCTTGTCCTCCCCGACTGTTGCCTTGATCATCGCTGTGTTCCTCGACAATACACTTGATTACAAGGACAGTGCTAGAGACAGAGGGATGCCATGGTGGGTCAAATTCAGAACATTCAAGGGAGACAGTCGAAACGAAGAGTTTTACACCCTCCCTTTCAACCTCGACCGCTTCTTCCCTCCATCTTGATGTATCAAACTAGAGAAAGATAAAAAAGTTTGGAGACATTTTGCCATATGCAGATAAGAATGATGATGATCACATTCTCGTGAAGAAGAGATAGGAAGTCATGTTTTGTCAATAGTCATGCTTTCTATGCCTGCCCTTTTCTTTCTTTTAGCATTAATTCTATATGTCTTTTGCTTGGAATTTTCAGGTTTTCTCTAATAAAACCTATTCATTTTTTCTTCAAACTTGTAATATATGGTTGGACCGCAATTTGTTTTGGAACATCCACAAGCTTCCCTACGTAATTGGCTTTTATTTTGGATGGAGTTGGATCTCAGTGATGAAAATGGAAATCCATCTTCATTTTTGTTCAAATTGAGGAAACACAACATGATAACAATGTTGTCGATGGTCGTTTTGGTACATGGTACGCGGTATATGGTACGATACTTTCTTAAATAAGCCGTACAATGAGAGTAGTATAAAAACAAATTGACAAAATTTCATATATTCAAATCGATGGAGAAACGAAGCTCTTCATATAAGTTTAGCAACAGTTGATAAGCAAATGAAGTTGATAACATATCGATGTTTACTGAGAAAATTAGATAATCTGTCTCCCTAAACATATAAAATGAAATTCAAGCAGAGTTTAGCAACAGTTGATAAGCAAATGAAGTTGATAACATATCGATGTTTACTGAGAAAATTAGATAATCTGTCTCCCTAAACATATAAAATGAAATTCAAGCAGAGAAATATATATTCTATCAGCTGCATCTGGACTTTTCAAATAACAAAATAAAGTGGAATTGTGAGAAATGAATTTTTACATTCACCATAGCTGCAAACTACTGTTGTATCAGAAAACGCCAAAAAAATGAGGGAAAAATTTACAGATTCGGGCATTCACCATTTATGCCTGCAGTTTATTGCCACTGGCGCAATACTCTTTTTCACCGTGGCATCAGAATCAATAGTCTGCCCGGGCCAACATCTGAACGCAATGCTGGTTTAAAGAATGTGCTAAATGCAAAAGAAATATAACAAGGGGAAAAAAATGAGAGAACCTAAAAGAATGGTCATCAGGAAAGAAAAAAAATTTCAGTTTTGCTTGCACATGCATTCTGTACACCTTGGATGTCGATAAATGCTTTGACCAAACCTCCTTACACGTACTCTTTGACCTTCCTCGATCATCTTTCTTATTCTCTCTTCAAATGTATTCCATTTTATGGTGCTATTCTCCAACAAAATTGCTGCCAGCCTCTTCTTGCTAGGCCTCAAGGTTGTGGCATGGCCACCACCATAGTATGTTCGGAAACCAGACACCAGGGATGATAGTTGGCTCCCAGAATCTGTTATGGCAAATACATCTGATGTCGCGCAGGCAATAAAGTCCAGTGCTGCAAGCTGCATCCGTAGTGTTTTTGTCATCAATTACTATAGATCAACTGTATTTGGAAACAAAAGTATTGCAACAGAGATTAAAGATCCTAATCCTATCAGCTGAACAAATAACCAACAACCATTTCAACTCTGTTATGTTAATGGACTCTGAATGGCTGGCTCCGGAACATGGTGATCAGAGAGTGAAAAACAGCTCTATTCAGGAATTTGTAAATCATGAAAAACCATTTACTTGTCTGTTTTTACAATAATATTTTGATGATATTAAAATCATAATACTGATATGTCAGAAATCTTGATCAACGGATATTGACCTTGTTTTCACTACATAATTTCAATCCTGTGGGTGGCCTAAAACTGATGAATGCAAAAAGCTCAAGATAGCAGTGAAATGCTTCTCTACATCCATTACTTGTTCATCTTATCCACTTTATAAACATTTGATATAGATTTCTCTTGCTTTTTAAATATTTAAACTAATCCTTCACAGTGTTTCTTACATAATCATGTCCTATGACAACAGTTTTCGGGATTCCATGTATTCAGCATCTGTACGAAGCAAGAGACTTGGCACACATGACACATATAAACCTATATACGCTTCTACTGCATACAACAACTTCTAATGTTCATTTCCTCATTCAGCTAATGATCAGGGTAATTATAAGTCACCTGAGAAGAAAAATTCCTAAGGGGTGCAAGTTCATTGGGGGTGAGAAGATCTTCCTTTGTGACCAAATTGGGATAGAGGCTAGTCAAAGGATGCATCCTCAACTGTCCACCATACATCTGAGACCCTGCCAGATAAATGTAAGTTCCACGCTTAAAACCGACACCAGCAAGTACGAGTGCTGCTTCTTCTGGTGTTAATGGACATCTTCCCAACTTTCTTAATTCTGCTGGAGAAACAGACCTGCGAGAAAAAAAAAAAAGGCATATTAATTTATTGGTCAAAATATGATCCTATAGGACAAAACCAGACAATGCAATATTGCTGAGTACATACTTTGACAACTTCAAGCGCTCAATAAGCAAAGGAAAATGGATTTCTCTGTAAGCTTGAAGTTCCCTTTCCTCATTTTCTCCACCTCCAAATCGGCAGAGAGAGTAGGCCACCATATCAACTTCGAACCTCATGTGCAAAGCAAGATACTTGGAAGTCCCTCCAATGGAATCAGAACCTCTGGAGGGGACGTTTGGGATGAAATTTCCAAGCAATTGTTTATCTAACATGTTCCTTGCTGCATCATAGTTTCTTACCCTCCTAATCAATAGTGAACCGACTTGTTGAATATTTGGCACAAACTTTAAAGCATGGAAGTTACATTTGCATCTTAACTTCTGCAATAGAAATCGTAAATCTGTGTCACACATGAGAATGACTGCTGACAATGACTAAGACAAATATCGTTTAAGCAGTACTAGAACAGGATCCATGGAATGCAACAGGTGTAACTTATCAAGTGATGAGGTTCTTCTAGAGCGTAAACAGATTGTGTAAATATCAGAACGAAACTTTCATAAAAAATCTGTAAGAAATGCAATAATTATAGCACAAAACAATTAACCACAAGGAAAAGAATATCAATAGTTGAGAGTGGCTAAAGCTTGACATTGAAAAGGATGATTTGAAAGACAACGGATACATAAAGTTGTCAAGGAGTATATTCCTAAATGGTTTGATTGCAAGAGGCAGTACAAATGCAACAAGATCAAAAAGAGGGCAAATTGGTTCATTGAATTCACATGCTCCAACGTTCAACAATAACATACATGTTGCTCTAATGGTGATAATTGTTGACTTGTTGCTACTATCTATGTTGTTATTATTGAAGCTAGTCCGAGAATCTGTTTCCCTAGCCAGAAGAAAAAGTCAATTCATTTTTTCGTTCAGTGTTTCCTGACCATGATTTTAACATAATGAGAGTAGAACCAAGGCAAACATCTGAAATGCTTAGCTGGACATTGGCACTATTAGAAACTCCTCCAACCCAAATTGGAGTAAGAAACACTATTTGAACCTATAAAACATATATTTAGTTCTTTTAAAATTGGCAGCATGAGATACCAGGGAACCAATACCTATCCAGAAACAGCATAACATATACAAAGCATGTTTTGAACCTGAAATTCAAAAGGCAAAGGGTCAAAGCCAAGTCGGTTTCCAAATCCAAGAAAGTGAACAATCCCATTCCGTTGTAGGAGAGGAAGTATGGTCTTCACATATTCAAGAGGTGTTGCCTCCTTTGCAATATCTGCATCAGTAATCTGAAAAACAAAATTAACAGGCTCAGAAACAGGTCTACAATGACTGATTATTCCTATGTACGAAATATTAACTGAAAATGACATACTAGACTACCAATTGCTTCCAAGTCCAGTGATTGCAAATTATAAGGAAGCTCCTTTACAATATTTACTTCATCCTTCAATATGTTCATGAAATACTCCTCTTGATAGATATCACCGAACTGGCTGCATTCCCATTGAACAAAAAAGAGGGTAAGTCTTCGTTAAAGCAATCAATGCATGACCATTGAAGTATGAAGTGGGGCACAACCACCGAGTTAAAGTGAAGAATTGCAACTACAATTGGCAATTGAAAGATCATGTCAATGAAAATAGGTGTTCGTATAATAGGCCAATAAATTAGTCCTACAGAACTGAAGTTCCCATTTATGAGTCTATCATGTTATGGTGATTTATTTATGGCTCCCTGTGAATTATGCTTATATGCAGATGATTCAAAAGTTCATAATTATTCAAAACAGATTTTTAAATCCATGTGGTGAAAATCAGAAAACGTGTCTACTGAGTGCAACAACTGGTTCAATTTTGTCCAAAATCAGGTATACTGAAAAGCACCGAATTAGTCCACTGGGAAGACTCTATCAGACACAGCAGATATGTCTGATTCCCTCCTCTGATCTTCTTTGTTAGGCAAATTATTTAAAATAAGAGCTCATGGTAAAATAGAGAACTTAATTGAAAGATTTGTTTATTAGGAAAATGAAAGTAAATAGATTTATTATAATGAAGAGAGGCTGAAAAACAACGATAAAGTTCAACCTCCAAAGTGAAAATGCTTATCTACTTCGTACGCAAAACAGACAATTGAAACAATTATGATCAACAACAACAGAAAGAGAAAAAGCCAAAGAATTTATAATTAGAAGAAAGAATCGATATAGTCTCATACCTGGGATCTTTCCATACATTGCTGGAAAGAAATGTGGGAATAACCAAAGTTGCATTTAGCAGCGAGGCCACAGCAACAGCATTGCAAACCTGCAGGCATACAAATGACCTATTTTGATGTGCTTGATGAAAGCAATACCTCAAAAAGAAATGAAAATGAAAAACAGATACGGACAGTGAAGGTCAGGCAGCACATCTATATGCGGAAATGAAATATGACTGTGCACTGAAGGACAACACACTTATCAGCACTGGTTAACACTGAAGCGAAAAATGGAGTTCTATAAAATAGATATCTCAACGCACCAAAGCCTTTTATCCCAACACTATCAAATTGGCTACATGAACTTTGTTTCTCTATTATAATCAATCAAGAGCATATTTTTTTGTTAAATCATAAGCTATTCAAGACACATAAAGAGTAGAAAAAGATTTCATCAGTCAAGACTTACTTTAAAGTTTTCCTTAATCAACAAATGTCTAACAACTTATTTTTGGCACTCATGGCCAGAAAGAAGAATAAGATTTTGCACTTACAGCAACTCGTTGTTGATTTAGACCTCCATTGGCACTGACCAATATATATCCGGTGCTGTTCCTGGCTTTCCCTGCCCCAGCAATGCCGAAAATTGTTTAGTGGCGTGACAGTTATAAGAGCAAAATAATGATCAAGGTCCAGTAATAATCAAAGTGTACCAATGCTTTTGGGACTCTTTCTATCTGCACAAGGTTTCCACTTAGATGCCTGAGGGTATGGTTCTTCCCAAAACTTTGATGCATCTTGCTTAAACTCATTCTGTTGCATTAAGGTTTTGTAAATTACTATCACAAAGTACAAAAACAGAAACCAAATACGTGAAACACACATTTAATCTATTCTAACATGCATATGCTCATATGTGCATGGGTCTAAACCTGGTTATGAATCAAACCTTTGCAAGAGCAGCCGAAGCCAGATTTACAAGCCAGTCATACATCTGTACTGGTGCATTTTCTGTGTTATCATAAGCAGTCCTGCTCTCCTTCAGAAGACAAGCAGTAAATAGGTATTAGTTGGTATTCTTCCAGAATAGCCCCCACAATGGTAGTAAATAACTGGCTGTTACTTGGACTATCAGGAAAACAATCAATTCACAACGATAAATTCTTGATGTGTACTTGATGCATGAAGACACTGTAAATCTCAAAATAGCTTTGGAGAAATATATGACACCAATTTATAAAATAGGGATCATTTAAGTAAATAAGATCACAGTAAACTCGAAACAATAAGAGTCACCTAATTCTGATTGAGAACACTAATATATAATAACTGGTATCATAATTAAGAAAATCAGATCACCATTAGCTGGATATAATGAGAGCCACCTAATTCTAATTCAGAACACTGATTTACGAAAACTCGGATCATAAGTAAATAAGATCACAACAAACTAGATATAACAAGAGTCACCCAATCATCAAAAAAAAGAGATAAGAGTCACCCAACCATAAAAAAAAAAAGAGACAAGAGTCACCCAATTCTAATTGAGAACATATGATACTGCCAAACTAAGTAAATATTGCATTTGCACAAATCAATGCATGAAGTTATACCCTTGTCTCATTTGATTTTCTTGGAATTGAACTACTCTGAATTGTGGGATCAAAAATGGAGCACATAAGGGAATCCAAAACAAAGAGGAAACCTATCAACAAAAAGGTAAAACCAATAGACCGCAAATTTCTACGTATCCACATATGCCTTTTCCCAGCCTGAACTCCCTTAAAATTGCTAAACTTTGAAGAATCATTCTTCACCCCATGAACCAAGAAAACTTTGTCCCCTGACATCCTTCTCCCTATAAAAGGATCACTTCCTTTCTGCATTTCCGAACCTCTAAACTGACTGTTTTTCACCCCAAATGATACATCAAGATTCGGGTGCTCGGGGCGTGGACTTTTTGGAGACCCTTGCTTCCCCATTTAATCCTAACTAGTTTGTAACGCACTAAAGCTTCAAGTGATCATGTTAGCTCAGCACCACCACCTCCTGCTCTTCTTGTCCCAGTGCAATGTAGTAGTTCACATTGCTGATCACCCAGAAAATTAAGAAACTTGCTTACAAGCTATATGTTTTGCTGGATTCCAAATGAACCCTGTATGGTCGTATGTCTCTCTCTCTCTCTATATCTATCTCTATCTTTTTTTTTTTTGGGGGGGGGGGGGGGGGAGGGGGGTGTGTTAAGACAATGTCTCTGTCCAAATCAAACTAACCAACCCAGTAGATGGCAAGAGAAAGACTCAAATTTGGTGGGAAAGAGTAGAGAAATAAAATTGGATGAAATGGAAACATCCATCTCTGGATTGCAAGCTAAGTTAAAGAAGTTGGTGATACTTAACTGTAAATAACAGCATATATTTAGAGCAGGCATGAGTGAAATATATATATATATATAAGAGAAACTGACCTTTCATATAATACAGGAGAAGACTCACATCTGCAACAACTACTTCCCAACAAACCGAGGAAACCTTCTTGTTTCTGGGTTTTGGTTGAACAATTTTGGAGGGTTTGACAGATGAAGAGAACCTTGAACTCGCCATGAAATTCAATAGAATCGTGGCTTTGTGTTTTGAGAAAGAAACACAGGAGGGTTGGTTATGAACTTGGTGGGCCCGTTTTAACCAACTTTGTACAGTGTCCCTACTTTACCTTAGTCTCCGTTTGAAAATTTTTACATTTTTCTTTGGTTAGCATAAAATATAAAATAATAGATTTTTTTTTTTTAAAAAAAAAAATTGATTTGTTTAGTTAGCATGCGTGCTTGGATAGCTGATCTTTTGTCATCCCTTCAAGCCAACCTCTAACGACTACAAATATCATTTGGAACATTTCTTTATACCACTTGTGTTTGAACTCAACTTCTCGTTTTTTTTTGAACACACACAAAGAGATACATATTTTTTTTTTGAAGTAAACTTCTCAAGAGTCAAGACTCAAGCTTTGAGATGGTAGAGATACAAAGCCCTTTGGAAGGTTTCCTCGTAATTGATTGGGGTTTTAACTCAAGCTTCAACAAGGAACTCGTCTTTATTGAAATCTTATAAAGAGAGAAGTAATAAACAATCTTTCTTAAATTGAAGAGAGATTGATTTTCAAATTCGACTACTATCATGGTGAAAAATCATCTATCATCCCTTGAACCCCTTACCTCTTAAGGTTAACAATACCCTTCAGAATCTTTCATTGTAACTGAATGGTGCATAAACTCAAGAGTCAATATTGAAGGTTTGAGATGTTAAAGAGTGAAAAGTCCTTTGAAATATTTCCTTGAAAAATGATTGGTGTTCTAATTCAAGGCCTCAAACTTTTAAGATGTTACCTCTAAGTAAGCATTGAAATTCAAAAGGTAAAAATCATAGTTGACATTTGAACTTTAACTTTGATTTTCAATTTAGTCCCTAAACTATTCAATTTTGTCTTGACTAAGTCATTTCGTCTATTTTCACCGTTAGATTAGCATTTAAATGGATCAGATTAGGTTAGTCTTCAATTGATCTAACGATGGAAATTGATGAAAAGACTTAATTTATCCAAAATTGATAATTGAGGGACTAATTGGGACAATTGAAAATTCAGGGACTAAATTGGGACAGTTAAAAGTTTAGAAACTAATTAGGATTTTTCCCCAAATTCAAATAACTTCTCAAATCATGTTGGAATATTTCCACCAGAAAAAGTTGTAATCCAAGTGGGTGAATTTTAATTTTAGAAGCTTGACCGTTAATAATTGATTTTTGAATAACTGCTTAATACATACGATTCTTTACCAAATTTTAAAGAGACTTAAATATACATGGTTACTAACATGTCCCTATTATTTCAATCCTATTATATAATCTTTAAGGTTTGATTACATCATTGTAGTTCTTATCAGCAATCAGGTTTATGATGATTTCCCATATTATAATGCAGAGGTTGCATCAGGGTAAGTGAGAGAAATAAGAACAATTGACATTTTCTTAGAATGCAGGTGCCATTGCCTTTGACATTCATTTTGTTATTACCCAACTAGCTACCCTTGTCACAGCCGCCACCTCTCCACCGCCGAACCCACTCACCCACCACCACCTCAAGCACCAACATCACCACCACCACCACTTTCTTTCAACCCATCATTCGTTACCCAAGTAGTCACTCTCCTCCAAACCACCGACACCAATGACTGGACCTCCAACACCACTCTTCACAAACTCCTGTTTCTCTCTCCTCAATCACTGTCTCCTCTCTCCCTCCTCCGCATCACCCGTGGCTTGGGCTCAACCGCCAAAGCCCTCCAATTTTTCCACTATATTCGCACAACCTCACCGTCCCCACCGGACCCTCTTCCTCTTTCCTCCACTTTCCAGGCCATTTTCGAGCTGGCAAGTCGAGAACAACCCGAATCAGCCACCAAGCTCTATGAACTTTTCACCAGCTCAAGAGATCAAAGCATTCCTCTTTCAATCAATTCTGCAACCCTTCTTATACAATTCTTTGGGCGGGCCGGAATGGTTGAAAAATCGCTTATTGTATACGAAGAACTTGACCCAGATAGAAGAAATATCCATGTGCGTAATACAGTAATCGATGTCCTGCTGCGATCAGGTGGGGTTGACTAGGCCATTAAAGTGCTCGATGAAATGCTTGATAGAAGTCGGAGTGTCCGCCGAATGAGAGGACAATGGATATTGTTTTGGCCGGGTTGTTGAAGAGGAATTGGAGTGGGAGGAGAGTGAGTGAGGAGGAGATTGTTGGTTTGGTTTTGAAATTAGGGGAACATTGTGTGTTTCCTAATAATGTGTGGTTAAGTCAATTAATTACTAGGTTGTGTAGGAGTGGTAAGAGTAATAAGGCTTGGGAGTTTTTGCACGATGTGAGGAGGTTGGGTGGTTCTGTGGAAGCTGCCTCTTGCAATGCCCTTTTGACAGGTTTGGGTAGAGAGCATGATTATGTGAGGATGAATATGCTTTTGAAAGAGATGAAGGAACAGAAAATTCAGCCGGATGTTGTAACGTTTGGAATTCTAATTAATTATTTGTGTAAGCTCCGTAGGGTTGATGAGGCATTGGAGGTATTCAAGAAGATGAGAGGCAATGAAAATGATGAAATTTCCGTTGAACCGGATGTTGTGCATTATAATACTTTGATTGATGGATTATGCAAAGTTGGGAGGCAAGAAGAAGGCTTGGGTTTACTGGAACAGATGAAATCACGACATGAAAGTGCACCTAATATTGTTACCTACAATTGCTTGATTGATGGTTTTTGCAAAGCTGGTGAAATTGAGAGGTCCCATGAGCTTTTGGATCAGATGTACAAAGAGGGGTTGATGCCAAATGTGATTACACTTAATACTTTGGTTGATGGCATGTGTAAGCATGGGAGAATCAATAGTGCAATGGATTTCCTTAATCAAATGCGGCAAAAGGGTCTGAAAACTAATGCAATTACTTACACTGTCTTGATTAGTGCTTTCTGCAATGCCAACAATATTGATAAGGCTATGGCATTATTTGATGAAATGTTAAAAACCGGGTGTTCTCCAATTGCAATTGTGTACTACTGCTTAATCTCTGGTCTAAGCCAGGCTGGAAAGGTGGATGATGCTAGCTCTGTGGCATCAATGATGAAGAAAGTCGGGTTCGGCTTAGATATTGTAAGCTACAATGTTCTGATTAGTGGGTTCTGCAGGAAGAATAGATTGGAGAAAGCTTATGAGATGCTTAAGGATTTGGAGGAAGCTGGAGTGAAGCCTGATAGTGTTACATACAACACTTTGATTTCATATTTCAGTGAAACTGGAGATTTTAGGACAGCCCATACATTGATGAGGCGGATGGTTAAAGATGGTCTTGTGCCCACCGTTGTTACTTATGGAACACTGATTCATGCATATTGCTTGGTGGGCAATCTTGACGAAGCAATGAAAATTTTTACAGACATGAGTTCTGCATCAAGGGTATCACCCAATACCGTTATATATAATAATCTGATAGACTCTCTCTGCAAGAATAAGAAAGTAGAAGTTGCTCTTTCCCTAATGGATGATATGAAAGCCAAGGGAGTGAAGCCAAATACCAACACATACAATGCCATGTTCAAAGGCCTTCAGGAGATAAACTGGTTGGAGAAAGCACTCCGACTTATGGATCAAATGACTGAACAGGCTTGTAATCCCAATTATATTACCATGGAAGTTCTTACGGATTGGCTTTCTGCTGTGAACGCAACAGAAAAATTAAGAAATTTTGTGCAAGGGTATGAAGTGTCTACTTCAATTGCATAGTGGTTGCTAGAAAGAGAGGTTAAGATTCTTACTTCAGTTGTACCAGTTGGCTATCTACCTTCAGTCATTTCAGTATTTGATGTTATTGTGGCTAATTTGTTTGAAGCACATTGACTAAATCATATGCTTCGAAAGAATGTCCACAGTGTCCATCTTCTCACAAGAGTGAGCACAGTAAGGCAGCATCACCTGGGACTGTAGGTGAATTGCTACAGATAATCTTATCTGTTTAACTGTTAAGTTGTGTTGTTGACAGTTTTGTACAAGTTCCTATGAATTATATGTTTAGCTATGAAAATTCAACAAAATTCGGTAAAATATACAGGTTGAGATTCAATTCAACTTTTTTTTTTTTTTTGCCTATATTGCCTCTTTCATTTTGTTCTTAGTATGTTGACAAGGTAGTTTCTTTTGTCACTAAAACTATCCGCAGGTTCTTGTAGTGGGCCCACTTCTTTATTATTTTGTTTGGTGAGTTGTAAGTTCTTTACTCTTTATTATTTTGTTTGGTGAGGGGAGAGGATTCTTTACCATCCATGACACACTTCACAGGCAATCTTGATTGAAAACCAGGAGTTGGAGGAATGAATTTTGGTTTTTATAATACACATCTGTTTTGTGTAATATAGACTAGTTCTGAAATTGTTTCGGTGATTTGCTTGGCTACTAGAGCTTCTCTTTGAGACAAACCAACTAGCATTAGAAATAATGCTTTACTACGCAGCTTAAAAAAAGTTGGAGGAAATTAGAAATTTATGAGACAGATGAATGGTTTTGGTTTTATTTTGGGGGTTGTCCATTAAATAAAAATAACAATGATGTTAGGGATGAACGCTATGTTGTTGTGATCCAATATGGACAACCTCATCTTGAACATGGGAATTTTTTTTTATTTTTTTTTATTTTTGAAAGATTAGAAGCTGTCTTTAATCCAAAATCCGAACTTCACAGGAACCAGAACAAGGGTGGGATGAGAAAGTCTCTCTTGGTTAGACCTAAAAACGGCAGAATTGCCACCTGTTGTAGGAAAGAGTTGTAGTTTTGGTCAATGCTTACTTTTGTGTACTGGAACTTATGAATATGTATGTACAGATATGTTCATAAGATAATGGGCTGTAAAACCAATGGTTTGTAAATGGAGCTCATGTTCTAGAACCAAGGATTTTGACCAACAAATAAAATGAAACAGGTCGTTGTTTCTCTAAGTAGAAAACCCTATCCTCTCCATGTGGAAACCTTTACGTTGTGTTTGGTACATGGTATTACACCTTAGGAATGGAATGATCATTCCTTAGTGATACCCATTCCACCATAAACTTGTTGGAGAAAGCACTCCAACTTATGGATCAAATGATTGAACATGCTTGTAATCCCGATTATATTACCATGGAAGTTCTTACTGATTGGCTTTCTGCTGTGAACGAAACAGAAAAATTAAGAAATTTTGTACAAGGGTATGAAGTGTCTACTTCAATTGCATAGTGGTTGCCAGAAGGAGAGGTTAAGATTCTTACTTCAGTTGTACCAGTTGGCTATCTACCTTCGGTCATTTCAGTATTCGATGTTATCATGGCTAATTTGTTCGAAGCATATTGACTAAATCATATGCTTCGAAAATAATGTCTACAGGGTCCATCTTCTCGCAAGAGTGAGCACAGCAAGGCAGCATAATTACTTGGGCATTACGAGATGCTGAGTAGTATTCACCTGGGACTGTAGGTGAATTGCTACCGATAATCTTATCTGTTAAACTGTTAAGTTGTGTTGACAGTTTTGTACAAGTTCCAATGAATTATATGTTTAGCTATGAAAATTCAACAAAATTTGGTAAAATATACAGGTTGAGATTCAATTAAACCTTTTTTTTTGCCTATATCGCCTCTTTCGTTTTGTTCTTAGTATGTTGACGAGGTAGTTTCTTTTGTCTCTAAAACTATCCGTAGGTTCTTGTATTGGGCCCAATTCTTTATTATTTTGTTTGGTGAGTTGCAAGTTCTTTACTCTTTATTATTTTGTTTGGTGAGGGGGGAGGATTCTTTACCGTCCATGACATAATTCACAGGCAATCTTGATTGAAAACCAGGAGTTGGAGGAATGAATTGTGGTTTTTATAATGATGTCCATATTGTAATAGAGGTTGTTTAAGCACTCTGGCTATATTTGTGTTAATCAACAAATTTCTCCCGCTGAATGTTTCTGGATGGCCATGGTTATAGTTAGTTTTCAGAATCAAATGGGTAGATGCAATTAAATACCAAAACAAGGTATCGGCTTACCTTTTTAACTAGTTCAACTTGTCAGTACACTTGTAGGTTAGGTCTATGAGCTTCTGGCATGATTGAACTGTGAATGTCAGTTGCTTTTTTTGTAGTATCTTCTAAGTAGTATTGTGTAATTAATCAGCAGTTTTCAGCTATTCTTTTCATAGGATGTTGCATGAACATTGGTGGGAGTAACATTAATGAAGCTCCCACTCCCACTGGCTAAATATGCCACTTCTATTTTAATATTGCAGATAAATAGAAGAATGGAATTTGTATTTGCTAGTCGTAGCTTTGATGTCTGGGAGAGTTGGACATTTGAAGGTTCTTTGGAGGAATTTAGGCTGGTCAATTGTAGAAATCCATTGGTAAGTTCTCTCCTTTGCTCCATCCAAATGCATGTGACATAATTGAGATATTAATCTTAGCTAAAGCTGAATTTTTAGTTCCTCTATCTGTATATGACTGTCCAAGTAAGCATTATGCAGTTGCTTGCCCGTGCATATGTCATCATATGCATGAATATGCATAAACATTAAATACACATCTGTTTTGTGTAATATAGACTAGTTCTGAAATTGTTTCGGTGATTTGCTTGGCTACTTGAGCTTCTCTTTGAGACAAACCAACTAGCACTAGAAATAATGCTTTACTACGCAGATTAAAAAAAGTTGGAGGAAATTAGAAATTTATGAGACAGATGAATGGTTTTGGTTTTATTTTGGGGATTGTCCATTAAATAAAAATAACAATGATGTTAGGGATGAACGTTATGTTGTTGTGATCCAATATGGACAACCTCATCTTGAATATGGGAATTGTTTTTTTTTTTTGATTTTTGAAAGATTAGAAGCTGTCTTTAATCCAAAATCCGAACTTCACAGGAACCAGAACAAGGGTGGGGATGAGAAAGTCTCTCTTGGTTAGACCTAAAAATGGCAGAATTGCCACCTGTTGTAGGAAAGAGTTGTAGTTTTGGTCAATGCTTACTTTTGTGAACTAGAACTTATGTATTTGTATGTAAAGATATGTTCATAAGATAATGGGTTGTAAAACCAATGGTTTGTAAATGGAACTCATGTTCTAGAACCAAGGGTTTTGACCAACAAATAAAATGAACCAGGTCATTGTTTCTCTAAGTAGAAAACCCTATCCTCTCCATGTGGAAACCTTTGTGTTTGGTACATGGTATTAGACCTTAGGAATGGAATGGTCATTCCTTAGTAATACCCATTCCTTTGTTTGGTTTGTGGGAATAAAATTTCATTCCCATTCCTAAGGAATAACTAATCCCATAAATCATGGGATTAAACATTCCCAAATAAACCATGGTATTATGTATTCCCTGACAGTCGGTAATCAGCCTCAAATCGACGAAAACCTGATTGTTTCTATTCATCTCTCTCTCTCTCTCTCTCATCACTGCCCATCGTTCTTCAGCTCTTTGGCCCCAATCCTTCCTCTCTCTTCTCCTCCCCTCGGTGACTTTTCCTTCATCAGCGGGAAGCATGGAAGTCCATCCCTCACTAGCCATTGTATGCTTCTTCCTCATCTCTTTGTGATGCAAGGGACTAGATTGATGACCAGACAAGATTTGACATCGCCACTAATCTCAAGTAACTCTTCACTTTGTTTAGTCAACAATTTCAAATCCAATTTTACAATTTTGTTTCTCTATTTCCCATTTTCAATAACATGCCAGCCAACTATATGATAAAAGTACCCTTAGAAATGAGACAAAAGAAAAATAGGATTGAATGCTTGATATTTTGAATAATACCTATAGAATTCAAAATCATTGGGTGGCTTGAGTTTTAATTGTTGGTCGAATCCCCCTTATGCTGTCACAAAATTTTCTATTTTTGCTTTGAAGTGGGATAAATAATTTCCTAGCTATTGTTCTTTTTTCTTGGGCGCCTATCTTTGGCAAGTGCAGGTATATAGACTAATAATCCCATATTAGCAATACTAGGACTCTAGCTAATGTCCTAATTAGAAAGCTTTTCTAATGACTTGAATACCACCACGCAAAAGAATTGAAGTTTATTTGAATCAATCGCGTCAAGGAAAATGATGATTCTTGACCTTCCAGTTTTCACACAATCTTGAAGAATTATGGTAGAAGAGATTGACACACATTTTGAATCAGATTCACTTTTTTTGGTGAATTCTGTGCTGGGAAAGGTTGGTTGTGCTTGGTCTTGTTTGGGCTTTTTGGATCAGATTAGGGGGCCTCTTGACAGAATGGATTGTCATTTAATGCATGTTTATAGGAAGGCTAATTGTGTGGCTGATTGCTTGGCCAATAGGGCAGTTCGAAACAGAGGATGTATTGATTTTTCGCACTCTGTTCAGTTGCCTGTTTCTGTGAGGCTAATGCTGATGCAGGATTGTAGGAGGTTACCTGATTTGAGAATGAAAAGGGTGATGGTTTTTTATGATAAAGGCTAGGAAGGAGGCGTTTGATGTTGAAGGATGGGCCCTTAGCTTCCTTGACCAGGAGTGTTGCCTGTTTTGATTTTATGCAGGATATTTGTTAATCAAAGGATCTGACTACTGAAATTTTTTTACAACAACAGTTACCAAAGTAGTATTGGTATGGCACCGTATGAGGCTCTATATGGACGACCTTGTAGATCACCTCTATGTTGGGCCGAAGCTGGTGAAAATATTTTATTTGGTCCAAAAATTGTCCGAGAAACCACTGAGAAGATCCAAGTAGTTCGAGAGCGGCTACCCATGGCTCAAAGTCAACAAAAGAGCTATGCAGATCAAAGGAGAAGGCCCCTAGAATTTCAAGAGGGTGATTACGTATTCTTGAAGGTATCCCCTAGGAAAGGAATATCTCGATTTGGAAAAAATGATAAATTGGCTCCCAGATATATTGGACCCTTCGAGATAACACAACGCATTGAATATGTAGCTTATCGGCTTGCCCTGCCAAGTCAATTATCAGGAATACATAATGTATTTCATATATCTATGTTAAGGAAATGTGAACCAGATGCGTCTTACGTCATCGATTGGAAGAATGTCCAAATTCAAGAAAATGGAACGTACGAAGA